CTGTCTGTCTGTCTGTCTGTCTGTCTGTCACTCCAAAGTGCATCACCTTCTGCTAGATTCCATTAGAGCACTTTTATTTTTCTTTTCTTTTGATGGCCTAGATTCATCCAAGCGAAAACACAAGCTGCACCTTTGTAAATGCATTGGGCTTCTGGATGATGGTAAAGGGGCTGATTCTGGTTAACGGAAAAGGTAGCATCTTTGATGACAGAAAGGAGAAGCTTCTCTGAGTGACTGTAAGAAGCAGCTTTTGTCCATCTTAGCAGCACCAAGAGATGGGGAGATGCTTTCTGCTCCTCCAGAGGCTGACGGGCAGCCATCCCCATCACCCCTGACCACAGGCTGTACAGGGCAGGGCTGATGGGACTTGCAGTCCAAGAACATCCAGGGATCCAGAAGATGCCCATTCTACAAGCAGAGGTCATCCCTTTCCTTTTTAAGACCACGTAATAGTAACTGTCCAGATTACGAGAGAATAAACTCTCTAAGCTCCGTGACCATTTCTCAAGTGAGGACTTCTCCAAAGGGTGAAATTGTGTGATTCCAAACCCCACCCCACCCCTTCCTGAGTGATTAGGAATCGTGGCATCTTGTGGCACCCCTGCCTTTATGCTGCCCAGTCCTGTCACCCACGAACGTCCTAAAGGATTACCTCCACCTTCACACGGGAGCTGCTCTTGCCACTTGAGCATCCTGGCTCCCCATTTCTGTGCTTTCTTCCAAAATGCTGCACCTGATTCTTATCCTCCCCTCCCCAGCCCCAGCCCTGTTTTCAGAGTCTTTCATCACCACCGCTGTGTGATGCCAAATACCTGGGGGATCTGTCAATCAGTTATCCTCTGGAGTAAGCACTGAGTGCCACGAAACTGCTCTGGCTTTTCTCCAAACTTGACTGGCATTGTCCAGCATGTGGATACCGGGAAGGAGAACCTAACGAAGCAACTTCGGCTGAGCAAAAACCCAAGGGTCCAAGCTATCTCAAGGGCTGCGTCTCCCTTTATGAGCCATCGTGGGTGTGAAGCTCATCAGGGGAGGAGGCCTTCCTCTCGGTCTCAGCCCCCACACACATATAAAATTCAGACAGACAAAGAGATATGTTTGCGAAAGAGCCACCCCTTTCTGTACATTTGACATGTATTTATTGTAATATACACAATACAGTATCCATTCGTGAAACCTGGGGAGGTCTGGATACAGAGCAAGAATGGGCCTTAGACATTCCAAGGTAGTTTTGCCCTGGCCGAAGATATTGGAGGGTGTGCCCTGTGAAATCGGTATTATCGGTTTCCGCTGAAAGTGGGAAAGTTACGTTTTTGGACTACATCTCCCAGAATCCCCAAACCAACACAGCCAGCGGCCACGGTGGCTGCAGACTGGGGAGGTGTAGTCCCATGGGAGTAACCTAATCTCTCCAGTCCAGGTGAACATTATAAACCCTTTGCCATTCATATACAGAAGTGCTGGAGAGCTGAGGGTTCGAGGTCTCTGGCTGTAGAGCCAGAGGTTGGGAGTTTGAGTCCCCCCCGATGCCTCCTTGACACAGGGCGGACTCGATGATCCAGAAGGTCCCTTCCAGCTCTGTAGTTCTAAGATGATGACGGTGGAGAAGATATATATTGCTCAATGCCGACAGCAGATGAATCACGACTTCTGCCTGTGATCTTGCAGGTGTGAGTTCCTATCCATAATATGGGGCATGATCAATCCCCTGGTTTGACTAACTCTAAGTATTAGTGGGATGTGGTGGCGCTGCAGGTTGAACCGCAAAAACCTGTGGGCTGCAAGGTCAGAAGACCCACCGTCATGACATCGAATCCACACGATGGAGTGAGCTTGTTTCTAATAGGGATTTCGGACCAAAAACCTGGACTTGGGACTCAGACTGAAAGACCTGCCCCCCCCATCCCTGGGCATCGCCATGGGCTATCTTACGTTCTTTCAAGGTGTTCCCACCTGGAGGGCAGTCGTTGGGATCCTTGGCTTCCAGAACGTCCCGTCCACCAAAGCCCTGCGTGGGTCCCGGATGAATCTGTAAGGTCAAGGTTTCCTTTCCGGAATCGATTCACCCCCCCTGTTCGTTCTTCTCCTCCTCCGACCGGCTTCCATGCTTCTTAGCCCTTACAGTCCTTTCCTGTGTGTTCGTCTCCACTCGTGACACACCTGAAGCATCATAGTCTCCAGGTTAGCCATTTTAGCTTCTGGTGAGAGTTCCATTTAAAGCACCATAGTTGTCAGGATGAGAATTTCCAAAACCCTTGGGAGTTGGGGAGGGGGAGGCAAGAGGGGATGGTTTGCAAACTTTGTGGGGCAGAATTGACAGGTTGGGGATGGTATTTCCTCTCTCCGCATCCCTCTTTACATCTACCGTGCAGCTCGCCCAAGGCTACCCAGGCTGGCTCTTCTCCCAGGAGGCACAGCGGGGAATTGAACTCCCAACCACTGGCTCCAGAATCCAGATCCCTAAACCTCTGAGCTATCCAGCCAGTACATGAGAACTTGAGCGGAAGGATGGATAAAACTCGCAGGTAGAGTGTGTGCTCCTGGTTCTGATCTTTATCCCTTTTACACCGTTTGTTTCTTTGTTATGGCAACCCTATGAATGGCTGACCTCCCCTAAGGGTCAGTCATTCACAGCCCTGCTTGGGTCTTGCAAACTCAAGAGTAGACCTTCCTTTATTATCTCTAGCAGGGATGGGAAATCTGCACCTGACCTATGCCCCTGAGTTCAAAGATTTTAAAAACAAGTTCTTTCCATTTTAAAGAGGAAGTAAAGCAAGGACCTTTTTCTCTCCAGACAGGCTTTCCTTTCGTGATTGTTTCCCACTTTGGGTGCAGTGTTCGTTTCTTTTAAAATCTTTGCACACTTAACAAAGTTTTTAAATATCATATTTTAATGATATAAACCCCCTGGAGTCACTTTGAGAAGAAAGATGGGGCAAAAATATACTCACTTGTGGACACACACACTCCCACACTCACACACTCACTCAGTCCATCAAATTCTCCAGTATTTACACGAGCCAGACCCAAAATGTGCAGGGATTCCCAAGCTTAGAGAGGATCGTGTTGTATCGGCCAGCCCTGTCCTTGTTAAAAATGAGGTGAAGCCAATGTGAACC